TAATTAGCAGTGCATGGAGCTGTACCTGACCAATTTAGGATCCTGTTTAAAATGCCTCTGCAGGCAGTATTTTAATATAGATTTAAGTTTTACCTTCTGGTTTTCACTATATGTGAATGAGGCAATCTCTCCCCACCGGCGTTCCTGCCATGGTTTGTGGATGGGAAAATGTTGATACTGGCATTCTTCACTGATCTATTCTGTCTTCCACATACAAATTAACATTTCCCTTCCCTGGAATGGAGAGATATAAGGCCTGATCCTTGGAGGTGCTGAATACCCTTTACTGCCATAAGAATGTCAGGCCATTAGCCTTTTCAGCAGCTTCTGCCTTTGTGACCTCTTCCAGGACTGTTTAATAAATACACATTTGTTTCATCCCCCATTGACTGTACTAGCATTGATCCTCCAGGACGTTAAATACTTTGAGATCTATGGATGAACAATGCTATGTAAGAGCTAGGGATAGTAGTTGTTGGTGTTATTAAGGTGCTGTGTAAATTCAAAGTATGTTGTTGTATTCTCTGACCATAGCGTATAGTTTACAGCAACTATGGGAACATGCTATCATTGCATTGCCAGAAAAACCCCATGTTTCCTTAAATTTGATGATTACTAGATTTGTAGTGACTTTTGACCTCCTCCTAGTAAGCCAGCCAATAAGCTAAGCAGGATCCAGCATGATTTGGATCTTAAAAGAAAAGTGAATCCTGAGCTGATAAACTGTTTTTCTCTGGCTGCTTAGTAAAGGCATTTGCAGTGGAAACAGACATTCGAATTCTTAGCCTCTGTGGTGGTCCAGTTTGTATAGACGACTTCTAGCTTGGGTGTTGGTAGGACTACACCTTTCATATCCCAGAACTTAATGATTATTTTAATAGTTATTTTAGATAAATTGATTTTTACAGTTTCCCTAGTAGTATGCTTGCATTGTTTTCATTTTGATAGAGAATACCAAGTATCCAAGACAAGGGAAACATAAGGAGACGTGTATCTAAGGAATAAAGGAGTTCAGGAGAGCTAGCAGTTTCTCAAAGAGACAGTATTAAAGGCACAACTGCAAGCTATGCCGATGAGAAGGAAAGATAGGAAGAATAGTAAGAGGCCAATATGACTCCATTGGGAGCTCTTTAATGACCTGAAAAACAAAAAGGAATCCTACAAAAAGTGGCAACATGGAGCGATTAATAAGGGGGAACACAAAACGAATAGCACAAGCATGTGGGGACAAAATCAGAAAGATGTAATTTATTTTGTGCTTTAGCCTAGCAAGGGACATAGAAGACAATAAGAAGAGTTTTTTTTAAAATACATTAGGACCAAGAGAAAGATGAAGGAAAGTGGGGAAGGAGAGCTAATAACAAATGACATCAAGAAGGCTGAGATGGTTAATGCCTATTTTGCTTCAGTCTTCACTAAAAAGGTTTATGCATTGAATATTGGGTCACCAATCAATGTTAACTACAAGGAGGACGCAAACCAAAACCGGAAAATAACACATTAAGGAATATTTAGATAAGTTAAATATATTCAAGTTGGCCAGGCCTCATGAAATTCACCTATGGTACTTAGGGAATTAACTGAAGCAATCTCGGAGCCATTAGCAGTTACCTTCAAGAACTCATGGAGGACAAGTGAGGTACCAAAAGGACTGGAGAAGAGCAATCATAACTCCTATCTTCAAAAAGGGGAACAAAGGGCACCTGGGAATTTATAGATCAGTCAGCCTAACTTTGATACCTGGAAAGATACTGGAACAAATTATTAAACAATCCGTTTGTAAGCACTGGGAGGATAAAAGGGTTCTAAGGAATAGCCAACATGGATTTGTCAAGAAGAAATCCTGCCAAACCAACCTGATTACCTTCTCTGACAGGGTTACTGGCCTGGTGGATGGGGGAAGCAGTAGACGTGATAGATCTTGATTTTAGTAAGGCTTTTGTCACAGTGCCACGGAACAGTCTCACCAGCAAACTAGGGAAATGTGGTCTAGATGAAATTACTATAATGTAGGCGCACAACTTGGTACCACATGGCATTTTGATTAAAACACTAGAACAATATAAAATGAATGTGGAGCACATTAAATGGATTAAAAACTGGCTCACTGATATATAACTGTAAATGGGGAATGATCATTGAGCAGATCTCTTTCCAAGAGTCTCATTTCTTGGCCCTGTGCTATCTAACATCTTTATCAATGACCTGGAAGAAAACATAAAATCATCACTGATAAAGATTGCAGATGACCCAAAAATTGAGGGAGTGGTAAATAATGAAGAAGATGGGTCACTGATTCAGAGCAATCTAGTTTGCTTGTTAAAATGGGCACAAGCAAACTGTGTGGTTTAGTATGGCTAAATGTAAATGTGTTCATCTGGGAACAAAGAATGTAGGACATACTTACAGGATGGGGGAACTCTATCCTGAGACACAGTGAATCTGAAAGATTTGGGGTCGTGGTAGATAATCAGCTGAACATGAGCTCCCAGTATGACACTGTCGCCAAAAGAGCTAATGAGATCCTGGGATGCATAAACAGGGGAATCTCAAGTAAGTTATTTTACCTCTGTATTTGGCATTGGTGAGACCACTGATGGAATGCTGTGTCCTGTTCTGGTGTCCACAATTAAATAGAGATGTTGATAAATTGGAGGGGATTCAGAGAATGATTTAAAAAAATTAGAAAACATGCCTTATAGTGATAAACTCAAGGAGCTCAGTCTAGTTAGCTTAATAGAGAGAAGGCTAAGGGATGACTTGATTACAATTTGTAAGTACCTACTTACAGTAAGTCTACATTGCAGTGTAAGCCCAGGGTTAGTGGGACTTGAGTCAGCTGACCTGGGTTAGCGAACCCTGGGCTTGAGCATTTACACTGATTCTTAACCCTATGTTAAGATTTGTCAAATTTGGGCTTGAACCTGGGGCTCTGGTGTCCACACTGCAGCGTGCTGACCTGAGTCAAAGCAAACATATCCCAGAGTCCCTAGCACCCTCCTGAAATGTGGCCACTTTGACCATGATGCACTGTGGGAAATCTTTACTGCCCTCCCTGCATGTTACAGGAAGTTTGAACAGCCTGCCGAGCAGTCATTTTGGCCTGTGTACTCCGAGATACTGGAGCCAACCTTTTGAAGAACTTCTCTTGCTTGCACTTTCACTCCTGTGTCAGGAAACGGGCAGAGCTTCCATGAGATGCTGGTGGACATTTCCATGCATTTTCTGACTCACCAAAGGCACCTGATGGATTTCATCATGGAGGAGGAGGCAGAGGAGGAACAGTACCCTGGCATGGCAGACGCTGCTCAGTACAATCAGCATAGCCGCTGATGCCCCCTACGTAAACCAGTGCATCTGGCACAGGACTACAAGCACGGACTTGTGGGATCACATTGTCATGTAGACCTAGGATGACCACCAGTAGGTCCAGAACTTTCGCATGAAGAAAGCTACGTTTCTGGACCTTTGTGAGCAGCTTGCCCTGACTCTCTAGTGTAAAGACGCACACGTGAGGCACTCTTGCCTGTCCAGAAGCGGGTTGGTATAACCTCCTGGAAGCTGGCTACCTCATACTGCTACAGGTCTGTTGTCTACCAGTTTGATGATGGAGAGTTGACTGTGGTTAAAGTGGTAGCAGAGGTTTCTGAGGCAATCAGGCATGTGGTTTACTCCAAAGTGGTGGGCATTCAAGATATTCTGGAGGTAATTGCTGGCTTTGAGATAACGGGCAACAGAGGTCGGGGATGCTTTGAGTTCTTACATTATGGCCTTGCACAGCCCAGTGGAAGAGGGGGAATAGCACCCGTACGAATGTGCTTGTGTGGGGAAAGGGGCTAATTGATTTTGGGGGATGTTTGCTCGATTGCCATGCAATATACTTATGCATGACATGTTGAATACTGGATTGGGGGGTGGCATGAATCACAGTGTAGGTTCATAGAAGGAAGGTATTGAAATGTGAATTGCTGTACCTAACCGCATAGAGGAATAGTGTTGCTTAGTCATGTATAATTGCTCCTGATCATGTTTTTAGCTTTATCTCAAATCATGATTGTAAGAGGTGATGCACTGATAGCAATAAACTTTCCTGATGATATAAAAAGCTTTATTTGTAAACGTGTTAAAACTGTACGACAGTCGCCTATTGCTATGCAGGCCAGCTAACATTACAACACCCAAAAACAAGTACTAGAAGAACATTTCCAAAACAAAAATATAAAAAAGCAGGAAACAGTGCAAACATGACTTAAACCCCCTACCGCTACTTGTCTCCATGTTCTCCATTCGCTTCTTTCCCCATTTTCTGTGCACTGGGTGCCAGGCTGGGGGTGGAGGTATCCACACGAGAGGGGTTCAAGAAGGAAGGCTCCAGGGGGTTTAGTTGCTCTGCCCTGCTGCCTATGGGGCTTGAATGCATGGGCTGCCCAAGGTATTTTTAGACTGAAGCTACATTGCAGGGAGATCAGGTCATGGTGTAGGAGAGGCAGCAGGAGCCGGTGCTCCCCACCCAGGATGGAGATGAGTCACTCAAACAGTGCTCTCTGAGCTCTGTCCTCCTCCCTTAGCCACCATTCCTGTTCTAGGAACTGTGTTGCAAGTGCCTGCTCCATAGCTGAAAACCTGTCCTGCCCCCGGGCAGCAAGCCTCAGCCTTTCCACCTGCCTCTCAGCATGCTGCTGTTCCAGTCTTTCATCTCTCTGCTGCTGGTCTTGGACTGCTTGTCAGCCCTCTCAAGAACTTCGACCGTAACTTCATCCCAGAAACGCTTCTGTCTGGAATTGTCCACAAAGGTTTATTGGGCCAGGCGTCAAATTCTGGATGTACAGCAGCCAGTGGAGATTGAGGGGCCTGAAATAGGACAAGCAATAGAGGGTTATTGTCTAAAATAGCGCAGTGGAGGAGCATAGAATTAATTCTTGTGGAATCTCAAGGACATAAAATGTTACATTTAAAAACTGAACCAAAATATATTGTGAAAGGGATGCTTCTGTCCACAGAATCTCTCTGGATACAACCTGGTTAATCACAGTTCCAGAAGTGCAGAGACCATGGTAAGTTAAAAATTATACATTTTTTTTGATTTTATAAAAATTTCATAAGTAATTGGATTGTCTGGGGTAGCGAGAAGTGCAGTTGCAACAAAAGGCTTTTTCTATCATTTCTGGCCTTTCATGTTTTGGAGGACATAAGTGTTGTTTGTGGTGCCCTCTTGGAAAAAGGAGATGTTATTCCAAGCTGTTGTTGGGAAATCTACACTATACGCAGCTGAAGTATTCAAACGTATAGTGACTGAACAGCACATCTGTGAGTGGAGTGAGCTAATCAGCTACCGAGGTGGCCCTGGAAAATATGCTTTTCCCTGCAATGTGACTTCGTCGCTGGAGTTTCTGTTTCAGGAAGAGTTTGCAGCTATCAGCAACCAGCATGTGTTAGAATTCATGAAGGAATTAACAGGATGCTGCGTTAGCTTACCCTGTTATGTCTGCACGCAAATACACAGCACTCCAGAGCCTTCCTCCTCCCTGTTGATGGCACATTTCTGGACAAAAATTGACACCCCAGTCGTACTTGGAAGAAATGATTTTGACACACACACTCACTCACACTCTCTCTCTCTCTCTCTGTTTCGCTCCATAGATCACTGAGCAGTTACAGTGTGGCAAACTTTAAGGGTAAGGTTATTAATTGTAAGAACTAGAAATGGCCCTAGCAAACATTCGAGCTTTTCAAGTAAAAATGCTCTATAAATGTGTCCTTTATAGCAGTGGTTCTCAACCTGTGGTCTGAGTCCATGGACTATGTCTTAAGGGGTCTGCAAAAGACTTAGGCTGTGTTTACACTAGAGAGATTACAGTGGCACAGCTGTACAATGCAGCTGTAGGATCTCTTGTGTAGCTGCTCTATGCCGATGGCGGGGGGGGGGGGGGAGAGCTCTCCCGTTGACATAATCCACCCCCAACGAGCACACTAGTTCTGATGCTGACATAATTTATGTCACTTGGGCCGTGTGTGTGTCTGTGTGTGGAATATGCACAGCCCCTGAGTGACATAAATTTTGCTGAGGTAAGTTGTAGTGTAGACATAGCCTTAGACTGAAAATGGACTGAACAGAATTCAGCTATATGCAGTACGCCCTTGCTATAATGAACCCTTCGGGATCCAGGCCGTTTATTCGTTATAGCCAGGGGTTCTTCATAGCAAAAGAGACCCGCTGCACCTGCGGCGGGAGCTGACAGCTTCTCCAGTCCCGGGACTGGAGGTGGGATCCAGGTACCAGGTCCATTATATCCAAAGGTTTGTTGTTATCAAGAGTGTTATAGCAAGGGTGCAGTGTACACAGACAATAGATTTCCAAAGGGGTCCACAAATAATAATAATAATAAAAAAAAAGGTTGAGAATCACTGCTTTACTGTTTGGAATTCGTGGTTGCCGGTTTGAGCTCCACATGGGTGGGGGAGGGGAGACACCAAGGTGCTATGATACAATCTGCCATGAGCAGATACACACTGGTAGCCAGGGCCTTTCATAACTTTTGCATTAGTTCTTAGAGCGGAAATCCCTCCCATTACTGTAATAATAAACTTTTAAATTGGAGTCAAACTTACTGGGCTCAGGGTTGGCTTCTGTCTCCTCTGGGTTTGCTGCAGGCTCGGCAGAGGGGTGGTCCTTGGGGGATGTGGGTGGGGAAGAGGCATCAAAGAGCTGTTCCTGTTGATCCTGTCCCACAGTCTGATCTGAGACTGGTTTCAGAAACAGTCACTTCATGCTCCTCACTTGGAGCCTGCTGCTGACTCCCATCAGTTACCAGCCTGGATTCAGGGAACAGCAGGGCACCATCCTGGCTGACCAGGTTGTCGTGCACCATGGTTGGCTCCATGCTGGGCACAGTTCCCAGCACCTGGTCAAACTCCTCATAAAACGGGCATGAGGTTGGTGAGCTGCCTGAGGTACTGTTCTAGTCCCTGGTCTGCCGGTACCTGTTCTTAAGCCACTTAACCCGCTCCCTGCACTAGTCACCAGTCCGGAGAATTTACAGAGCTGCCAGCTTTTTAGTTATTTGCTGGTATGCGTGATCATTCCTGGTACTTCACTAAAGTCCACAGTTTTACTGGCCTCACACCAGAGATTCACCAAAATCTGGCTGTGCTCCCATGACCATGAAGCAGCACACTTTGCAGAAGGCTTGTTCTGTTCAGTCTCCATTGCAAACACAGAAGGCTCTCTGATGGGTTTGCAACTCAGTGATCAGAAGACAATAGAAGGGTTAACGCTGACTCACTGAGCTGCAGCTGTCCATCAGAGGGGGGTAGCTTCTGTTTTCAGTTGAATCAATTGGAGATTGTTGGGATAGAGAGGACTAAGGAAGTTAGCGACTTCTGGTGGACTCCCAGGACACAAGTCAAGCGGGGTTGCGCCAACACTGCAGAGCAATAGGACTTGACCTTGTGTCCCAGCTTGATTCTGGCTCGGACTCTCTACTCCCGCAGGGTCGCATGTCCAAGCCTAGGGTTAGCACGATTCATTTGTAGATGTAAGTGGGGTTAGGCTTGTGCCTGAGTGCTTATTGCATTGTAGACATACCTTCAAGGAACAAATATTTAATAATGGGCTCTTCAGTCTAGCAGAGAAATGTCTAATACGATCCAATGGCTGGAAGCTAGACAAATGTAGACTAGAAATAAGGCATACATGTTTAACAGAGTAATTAACCATTGGAACAATTTATGAAGGGCCATGGTAAATTCTCCATCACTAACAATTTTTAAATCAAGATTGGAGGTTTTTCTAACTGATCTGCTCTAAGAATTATTTTGGGGAGGTTCTGTAGCCTGTGTTAGACAGGAGGCCAGAGTAGATAATCACCGTGTCCCTTCTGGCCTTAGAATCTATGAAAGTGGTTGAAAGACTGTACGCGGAGAAGCTATCAGTGGTTTGCTGTCAAACTGGGAGGGTGTATCCAGTGGAGTCCCGGGGGGGTCAGTCCTGAATCTGGTACTATTCAATATTTTTAATGACTTGGATCATGGAGTGGAGAATTTGCTTATAACATTTGCGGATGACACCAAGCTGGGAGGTGTTGCAGGCGCTTTGGAGGACGGTATTAGAATTCAAAATGACCTTGACAAATTGGAGAATTGGTCTGAATTCAACAAGGTGAAATTCAATAAAGACAAGTGTGAAGTACTTCACTTAGGCAGGAAAAATCAAATGGACAATTACAGAATGGGGACTAAGGGCTTGTCTACACAGGCACTTTACAGCGCTGCAACTTCCTCGCTCGGGGGGGGGGGTGAAAAAACACCCCCTTGAGCACAGCAAGTTTCAGTGCTGTAAAGCGCCAGTGTAGAAAAGCCCATGGAGGTGGGTTTTTTAGAGCGCTCCCAGCGCTCTGCTGTGACTACACAAGCCACGTTAAAGCGTTGCCAGTGTAGACTAGCCCTCACTGGCTAGGCAGTAGTACTGCTGAAAAGGATCTGGGCATAATAGTGCTCAGGGCTGGGGAAGGGGATTGGGGTGTGGGGTGGTGCTTACCTCGGTGGTGGTGGTGGCTCTGCAAAAGTGGCCAGCATGTCCCTGCAGCTCCTAGGCAGAGGGGCCAGGGGGCTTTGCGTGCTGCCCCCGCAGCTCCCACTGGCTGCGGTTCGCGGCCCATGGGAGCTGCGGAGCTGGAGCTCATGGTGGGGGCAGCACATGGAGCCCCCCATGGCCTTCCCTCCACTTAGGAGCTGCAGGGACAAAAGGAGCCGGATAGGAAGCCTGCCAACCCTCCCCTCCTCCAGCACCAGCAGGATTCCCGGGCCGCGCACCATCACCCGCCTCCCCCCAGCACCAGCAGGGGTCCCGGTCCATGACCCCCAGCACCTGTGGAGCCCCCAGACGCCGCCTCCCCCCCCCCCCAAGCACCAGCAGCCTCTGCGGCCCAAGTTTTAGTCGGAGCTATATGGTACAAGTCATGGACGGTCACGGGCCACGAATTTTTGTTTACTGCCCGTGACCTGTCCATGTTTCTTACTAAAAATACTCGTAACTAAAACATAGCCTTAAGTATGAGTAGGCAGTGTGATGCCATTGCAAAAAAGTCTAATCTCATTCTGGGGTGTATTAACAGGAGTATCATATGTAAGACACAGAAGATAATTGTCTTGCTCTACTCAGCACTGGTGAGGTCTGACCTGGGGTAATGTGTCCAATTCTGGGCGCCCCACTTTTGGAAAGATGTGGACAAATTGGAGACAGTCATCAAATGATAAAAGGTTAAGAAAACCCGACCTATGACAAAAAGTTAAAAAAACCTGGACATGTTTAATTTTGAGAAAGAAGACTGAGGGGGGACTTGATAACTGTCTTCAAATCTGGTAAGGGCTGTTATAAAGAGGACTGTGATCAGTTGTTCTCTGTGTCCACTGAATGTAGGCCAAGAAGTAATGGGATTAATCTGCAGTAAGGGAGATTTAGGTTAGATATTAGGAAAAACTTTCTAATTATAAGTAGGCTTGGAAGGATTAGATTATTGGTAAATGTCAATAAACGTCAATTTCACCGTAGGCACACAAATGGAGGGAAAAAATACTTCCATCAATAATTGAAATTTACAGCTAGGCAGTAAAAAAAAATGTTGCCTGAGAAAGTATTAGAGTTTGATTTAAGGATATTTACTTCATATATTTCGACCTGATGTTGACAGTTTGTTTTTTAATGGTTCTCAGGTTTTCAGTTTTTGAATCTCCATGTCTACTGTCATTAAATAATTGCCTGACTCCCCCCACATAATTTACTGCAACTGTGAAAATTTATGTAAAAATAGAAAAGAATCTTAAAACCCATAATTTTGTGCAACTGTGAAAATTAAATTGATAAAAATCTTTAAAAATGCTTAAAAATAAACGCTGATATCTGTTGATTCCTGCTGTGCCTAACAATAAGGGTAGTTAAGTTCTGGTATAGGCTTGCAGGGGAGGTTGTAGAATCCTCATCACTGGATGTTTTTAAGAACAGGCTAAACAAACATCTATTAGGGATGGTCTGGAGTTACTTGGTCCTGCATCAGCACAGGAGGCTGGCCTAGATGATCTCTCCAGGTCCTTTCCAGCCCAACATTTGTATGATTCTGTGATAAGTATAATTATATAAAGCAGCTGGTTGTTAAATACAGGGTTGCAGGGGTTTTTTGCATTTTAAATGACTACTTAGTGGTTTAAGTTAACTACATCGTAATCACTTTTTCCCTTCAGTTTGTGGGTTTGCTGGAATCAGTGTGTGTGTGTGTAATTAATATATATATATATATATATATATATATACACACACACAAACCTTGATTTCCTTTCTTCTACTCTCACCACCTGCTTTTGGCTGCAATTTTTTCTATGGTTGGTACGGGCTTTAGGTACTTCACTAACTCACCCCTACTCTTCTTTTAATTTTTCATTTTAGCCACTTTGCTCCATTAAATGTATGCAATTATAAAAGCAAATGGAAAATTTGTTATTGCATCATTGAAGTATTTAGTTTCATAGACTTAAAAGCAGAATTTGGTGCTCCATGCCTTCCCCCTTATTATATATACTATAAACATCAGAGAGAATAGGCTGACCTTAATATTTGCTTCCCATACTAAATCGCCGCCTTGCAGCAGTTATTTCCCACTGAATAAAAAGTTTAATTTCACGCCCTGATTAGTGCTAGAATGTGCAGGTGGATATTTGTTTTATGCAGCTAAACTAATCTGCCTTGGCAAATGATTTGCCAGTCAGCAGAGCTATAATTCCTCATGAGTATTTGGTGCTAAATTATAGTTCTCTTTAGTAAGGTAAATCAAAGCATTCTAACCACAAAGCTTTGGTTAGGCCAGGGTTTTCAGATATAAAATAAAAAAAGAGTGGGGATAAATTGAGAGTGACAAGGACACAGCATAGGGTCAAACTGGCATGTGATATAGAAGGGGGTAAGGAAGGTTTCTAGGACGAATAAAAGAAATGAGTGTTGTGTAGTATCTCTGTGTAGACCCCAGTGAGACCATGCAGATAATGTAAACCACTCGTAGCTTGCCTAGTTCAGTCGTTCCCACTGAATAAAACAACTTAACTGTGGTCTGTGGCGGACTTATCAGTGAGCCTCAAAGAGCTGGCTGGGTGCATGGTGCTGACTCCTCATTTCCAGATGCTATTTCACATTCAAAGAAAATAAAAATACCATACTGTCGTCTTATTCCTTTTCCATGTACACAGTTGTCACGGGGATGTTCCTTGATTTCAGTAACTGTGAATGGCAAGAGAGGTGTGAGCTGATATTTCTATTAAGATGTGGTCCACATT